GTGTTGTATTCTCCCTAGCAAAATATAGAATAGGGCAGCTAGGTGACGCAGTAGATAATAGCATCTGGGGCAGGTAGGTGGTACAGTGGCTAAAGTGCCAGGCTTGGAGTCAGGAGGACCTGAGTTCAAATCTAGCCTCAGATACTTACTAGCTGTGTGACCCTGGGCAAGTCACTCAACCCTGTTTGTCTCAGTTTCTTCATCTGTCAAATGAACTGGAGAAGGAAATGGCAAACCACTCTAGTGTCTTTGACAAGAAAACCCCTAAATGGGATCAACAAAGAGTCAGACTCTGCTAAAACAATTAAACAACAACAACATTGCACTGGAAGCTTTAGGAGGCTTTGGGGGGGTGGGGTTCACGAAGAGTCAGACATAATTAAAACGACTGAAACAACAAGAATGTAGAATGGGGGAGGTCATAGGAGAAGGGCCAGAAAAGACCTTAGAAGTGATCTGGTCTAATACTCTCATTTTACGGAAAAGGAAACTGAGGCTTAGAGGAGTCAAGCAACTTGCCCAAGGTCACACAGATATTAAATAGCAGAATCTGGGTTTTAACTTCATTTCTTTGAATCTACAAACAGAATTCATTCTGTTGCACTGAAGTCTAATGCCTTACTCAAATTTCTTGACATCATGGAGGGTTTTATGTTTTCATCTCCAGTGTCCCTAGTGTCTAGCCCAGGGCCCAACACACAGTAGGCACTTAATAAATGCAGGTTCAATTGAATTGACTTGAATCCTATGAAAGCCAGGCTCCACGCCTCGGCCCCACTCCTAGGCGGGCCAAGCCCCTTCAAATCCACTCCATCTGGACCCAAGAGCCCTCAAATGAAATATTCCTTGCACTAGAAGTGAACTGGAAATAATTTACCGTGAGAGGACTGAAAGGTCAGTTTACTCCATATCGGCACCTTCATTTTTCCAAAATCCGCCGAAATTAAAAAGCTATAGATATCTTATAGAGCTTATTTATGAACACTTAAGTGTAAGTAACTCATGGTTGGAACGGTTCCCTGCCCGTGATATATGAAAGCTGTCAGCGCCACATTCTTAGACTATAATCTGCCCATACAATATGCTATTTTGACATGGCCTGGTGATGTTTTCCACAGTTACTGACAAGCGTATGCCAGCGTTCCTTTAAAAAAAAATTAAGAAATGGGCTGGGGGGGGCAGGGGGAGGATGGGGGACTTTACCCAGTTTTATGACTATTGATCAACCCATCTCCCAATGATCTAAAAAAAAAATCCTGTATTTTTGGTCAGATCCATGGTTTCTTAAATTATTCACAGGCACTGGGAGTCAATACAGTGTCTTTTCTCAGCTTTGTAAGTTAAGAAAAACTTGTTCAGCGTTCTGTTATGTATGATGATGAGGGGGGGTGGGGGTGAAGGACAGAGGGAAGAGAAAACCCACCCTCTTTTTTTTCCCTCTTTCTCCCTCTTATTGTTCTAGAAGGAGCTTAATTCTGTTGCCTCTGAGCTGGCGTCGCGGCAGGAGGAGAGCCAGAATTCTCATAAACATTTAATTGAACTCCGTCGGGAATTTAAGAAAAATGTACCTGAGGTAGAGTATATTTGCGGCTCCGAAATTAACGCGGTGGGAAGGCAGATTTCTCTCCCTTCAAACTCGATTTTTGAAAACTGGCGACATAAGTGACTAACAAGGAAAGAAGCTAATTAGCCACAAAGAAAAATTAGCATCCCCCTAACCCTTGAATACTCTTGGCATTGTGGTGCCCAGCAGATCCATATTATGGAAAAATGGAAAGGATTTCCATTAAAGTCATTGTTTCAAAAGACTTTATAAAACAGTAATTTTTGTCCTCTTTTTCCCCCCCATGCAAATTCAAAGCTAAGATCTTGTTATTTTGAACACCAAGCCTCCATGGACTGTTTGTCCAAAGATCACCCTGTTTTCTTTTCCATTTGAGCCGATGAGGCTGTCGAGGCACGATGACCTGCCCTTTCCCTTCCCCGATTCTTTCTGCCTCTTTTCTTCAGCTCCCATGTCCTCTCCCCATCCCCACTTCAGTCTTTTCTTTCTCTCTTCACCTACCACCACCCCACAAGCTTTGTTCCCCATGAGCCTGTGTCTGCCTCCTTGGGAGAGGGTGCTGGTGCTGGAATGGTAAGGGATCCCCAGGGGAAGGAGACAAGATTCTACAGGCTTCCATTTTCTTCTGGGGAGAAATTGAGAGAGCTTTGTTTTTTGTCAACAGGTCCCAATGTTGCTTCTTGGAAAATTCCAGAAATCTTCAGAGGGAGGAAGGAAGGAAGGGGAAGAGAAGGAAGGGAGGGAGATGGAGAGGAAGGGAGAGAGAGAGAGACAGAGAGAGAGAGAGAGAGAGAGAGGAGGAAGGAGGGAAAGAAAGAGAACGAGAGAAAGAAAGAAGGAGCCCAAACTCTCTGTAGCTTTGGCAGAGAAGACCAGAGACCCTAGAAAAAAATCTATTAGGAGGCACGATAGAAGAAAACATTGGATTTGAAGTTAAGAGGACCTGGATTCAAACCCCAGCTCTAGCACAAGTTACTTCCCTTCTCTCGGCCTTAGTTTTCCCATCTGTAAAATGAGAGGATTGGGCCAGATGGCCTCCAAGATCCTTTCCAGCTATCAACCTGATATCCCATGAGGCATCTTCCTTTGACACCAGCCATCCTATTGGACTGACAAGGCTACATCATACTTCCTTACAAAATTGCCTGACCATTAGAGTTGTCCCAAAGAGGGTCATGGGATCCTAGGTTTTGAGCTGGAAGGGACCTCTTAGAGACCATCTAATCCAAGCCCTTCATTCTGCATACAAGGAAACTAATACCCAGGGAGGCTGGATAGCTTATTCATAGATAGTGATAGCGATCCATAGATAGGAGGGATGTCCAAGGCCATCTCATCCACTTCCCCTTATTCTAAAAACAAGGAAACTGAGGCCCAAGGAAGTTAGAGGATTTATCATAGGATCAGAGACCTGGAGATATAAGGGACTCCAGAGGGCCAATTTGTCCAAACAGCCACATTGTACAAATAAGGAAACTGAGGCCCAGAAGGTAGAATGACTTGAACAAGATGCCTTGGGAGGTAGTAGTAGCTTCTCCATCACTGGAGATCCTCAAGCAGAAGCATCACCTTCTGCATGAAGCCCTTTCTGACCGCCCCCCCCCCAAAAAAACCCTACCTTGTATATTTATTTATATTTATTTACTTTCTATTGACGCTTAAAATTTTTACAGATGCCCTTGTTGTCTCATATATTAGAATATAAGCTCTGTGCAAAGAAAGATTGTTCCAGTCTCTGTGTCATATCCTCAGGCCCTGACATAATGCCTGGCATAGAGTGGGTGCTTAAGAAATACTGGATTGGTTGGATGATTGGATGACCCCCTTGTGGGGGATATGGTTCAGAGGAGATTCCTGCTTCAGGTCTGGGCTGGGCTGGTTGACCTCTGAGGTCCATCCCTTTCAATGCCAAGATTCCTTGATAGAATGCCTGGCATCGGGCATGCTCACTTTAGCACAGGAGTAGGTGGATTCGTAGGCCCTGTCCGACTCCAAGATTCAACGATTCTGCGATGTTTGGCCATCACAGTGGAGGGTGAAGAAAAGCGGATTCTGAGGCAGAAGACCCGAGTTCAAATCCCACCTCTGACATGCTGTCACTTCCCCAATCTGAGACTCAGTTCCTGCTGTGTAAAATGAGGGAATTGGACCAGACGGCCTCCGAGTTAGTGATCAGCTGTTTCCCAATTGATTAAAATTTCAGTTCCTCGGCTCCTTAGGTGGCCTGGGCCTTAGGTGGGTTCTCTTTCCTTGATGACGGCACCCTAAGAAGGTTCCAGGGCCATAGTCATCCAAAGGGCATTCTTCCATGTACTAAGCCATCTGGTGCTAAGGCTTATGACCCTCCCCCCCAATCTCCACATATCCTATTATGCTCCTTAGTCTCACTGAACCCCATTTGAGTTTGGAGTTCATAAGCAGTCCCTGTGGGAGGATCTGAAAGTTGGGGCTGGAGAATGTATCTAGAACCAAAATGGACCCTAATCAAACTGACCCCGTTTCCTTAAGTTGGGCTCGGGCTGCTGGACCTCCCAGATCCAGGCTCCCTGTCTTGGAATTTGACGTTGAGCTAAGTCTCTGCCACTAGCAGAAGAGCCAAAATAAGATGGGGGGAAAGTGGCTAGCACCATGGGACATTCGCTCCACTGACCTCCAATATCCTGTCCACCTCTTAGGTTCCTAGCCAGGAACTGGGCAGCAAATCTAGAAGAAGGGATTTAATTCATTTCAGTCAGCCTTTCAGAGATTTAAGTAGCAAAGGAAAGGTCTTCCCACCAGGCAGAATGGTCTTAGTGTAACATGAGGGATGGCATATGGCATGATTCTAATTTTATGATTCTGATTCTGAGACAGATCTCATGATTCAAGAATGGACCCTCAGCCCCCTCAAGGCCTCCACCCCCCCCCCCCCCCCCCCCTTCTCTCTCTGCCAAAGGTGTAATTTCATTGATACATGAAACTCCCAGTGAGGACACTCCCTCCACCAATGCAGATCAAAACCTACAGAGAGTTACCTGGGGGCAGTAAGGATTTTAGTGACTTGCCCAGGGTCACACAGCTAGTAAAGTGTCTGAGGCCAGATCTGAACTCAGGAGGATAAGCGTTCCTGACGCCAGGCCTGGTGCTTTATCCACTGCACCACCTAGCTGCCCCTGAGTTCTAGATATAAAAAGATAAATACAAAATTGTCCCTGCCCTCCAAGAGCTTATGTTCTCCTAGGAGAGTCTGATCATAAACCTTTTGGGTCACTTTGGGTTATTGACTTGACTCAGAGACCGCCATCTTTACTGCTTTGTAACTTAACAAGGCTCCAGGTTTTGGGACGTCTGCACAGCATTCGTGCACAGGACCCCATGTCAAGAAATCTCGGATTGTATGGGTTGGGACACAGCTGAGGGACTCAGATGTAACTTAGAGTCCACAGTCCCTCTGTAGGGTGCTCTGAAAGGGGTTGGCAAATTCTTCGTGAAGTATTTAGGTTGAGTAGATGGGAGGCCAGATTGGGCACCAGGGCACTATGGAGAGGATGGCAGGACCTCAGAGGTCATCTAGCCTCATTTTACAGTGGAGGAAACTGAGGTCTTGGGAAGGGAAGGGAACGTGTCCAGAATCACACAGGAAGCAGAGCTAGGATTTGAACCCAGGCACTTTCCTCTGACTTGAGCATTATTTAGACTACACCATGCATTCACCTCAGTGACACACGCTCTCTTTGAGTGCTCTGTGGCTCTCACTCTACCCTCCCAGTTCAGTGAGTCCGTCTTTTTGGGGGAAAGGGGAAAGGGAACAAGCATTTACATACCTACTATGTGCCAGGCAGTGTGCTAAGCCCTTTACAATTATCTCCTTTGAGCCTTAAAACAACCATGGGAGGTAAGCGCTATTGTTATCCCCATTTGACAGATGAGGAAACTGAGGCAAGCAGAAATTTAGTGACTTGCCCAGGGTCACACAGCTAGTGAGTGTGTAAGGCCAGATTTGAACTTAGTTAGCCAACAGCATATCTGCTGTACCACCTAACTGCCTGCAGGGAGGTTTTGGGGAGCTGGGGGTGGGATTCAGGTCTCTCCCTGGGTCGATTTGCCCAAAGACCATAATAAATGCTGCGAATCTCACTATTCAGTATGTCTAGCCCCTAGGAGCCACTGCAGTGATTCCTCACCGTTTCTAAGCTCACATTTCTATTATATTTTAAAGTCTGCAAAACACTATACCTACATTGATTCCTCTTGATCCTCGAAGATGGAGAAAATGAGGCTCAGAGAGGGTTAGTAACTTACCTAGGGCCACACAGCAAGCAAATGTCAGAGGCAGAATTCAGATCCCATTATTCTGTCTCTAAGTCATTGTGTCACCTTGGGAGTGTTGTTTCTGAGCATCCCCGAGCTCAGCCTGGACCTGGAACAGTCCCTGGAGATCTCTCCCTTTCCTGACCTCCCCCTCCCCCACAGGTAGCAAACGTTTCTGTCAATCAGTCTTCTTCTGGGAGAAGTACGGGTGAGGTGCAAAATCCAGGCCAGGTTTTAAGCCTCCAATTTCAACTTACATAATTTTAATACCACATAATTATGCAATTATGCAATTAGGAATAAGTTTCCATTCCTATTATAGTTGTGCCTCTGAAATTTTCTCTTTTGGAACTGGTTTCTCTGGTAGGAAAGAGAGTCATGTTAGGGCCTTACTTAGGAGGGGAAAAAAAACCTTTGGCTCGTGCCAACTCACCTCCTACTTGTAACTTCTAGCAGCTCCCCGTGGGTGACAGTGAACAGGACACCGGGCCCCTTCTGGGAAGGGAGCCACGGCTGCTGGAAAAGATGGGCCTGGGGAAGAGGAGGACTGGAGAGTGGGGCGGGGACAGGGACAGAATGGATGAGAGAAAGAAGGCCCCTGCCCAGACGGGGTCCCCAAAAGGCAGGCCTTCCTCCTAGCGTCCACAGGAAGTCCTGGGAATAGCACCAAGGTCACAGAGGTAACATGAGGCTGAGCTCCTGTTTCCAAAGTCACAGTAGATTGGAAGCCCCTTGAGGGCAGGGACTGTCTTTTGCTTCTTTTTATATCTCCAGCATAGTGCCTGGCACATAGTAGGCGCTCCATAAATGTTTATTGACTGACTGCACCATACTGCCCCTCAGTTTCCTCATCTTTAAAATGGGGGTAATGATACCCGTACTACCTGGCTCTCCTCCTAACTAGCTTTATGACCTCAGCCTAGTCCCTACACTTCTCTGGGTATTAGTTTCTTCATTTGTAAAACAATGGGATTAATCTCTTTGAATCCATCCAGGCTCCAATGGCATCAACAGTTATATAGAGATTTTATTATATTAGTTCTTTCAGTTATCAGGTATCCTTTTTTTCCCTTCCTTCTCACCTCTCTCCACCTATGGGGGGGGTCTAGGAAGCAAGGAAGGAAAGAGAGGGAGTGAGGGAAGAAAAGAGGGAGGGAGGGAGGGAGGGAGGAAGTTGGAAGGAAGGAGAGAGGAGGAAGGAAAGAAGGAAGGAAGGAAGAAAGAATAGAGGGAGGAAGGAAAGGAAGGGAGGGAGGAAAGGAAGAAGGAAGGAAAGAAAGGAGAGAGGGAAGGAGGGAAGGGAAGAAGAAAGGAAAAAAGGAAGGAGAGAGGAGGAAGGAAAGGAAGAGAGGGAGGAAGGAAAGAAAGGATGGAAGGAAGGGAGGAAAGGAAGAAGGAAGGAAAGAAAGGAGAGAGGGAAGAAAGGATGATAGGAGGAAGGAAGAAGAGAGGGAGGTAGGAAAGAAGGAAGAAAGGAAAAGAGTGAAGAAGGAAGGGAGGAAAAGAGGAAGGAAGGAAGTGAGAGGGAGCAAAGGATGATGGGAGAAAAGAAGGAGAGGAAGGAAGGAAAGGAGAGAGGAAGGAAGGTGGGAGGAAGGAAGGAGGGAAGGGAAGAAGAAAGGAAAAAAGGAAGGAGAGAGGAGGAAGGAAAGGAAGAAAGGAAGAGAGGGAGGAAGGAAAGAAGGGAGAGAGGGAAGAAAGGATGATGGGAGGAAGGAAGGAGAGAGGGAGGAAGGAACGAAAGGAGGGAGGGAGGGAGGAAGGAAAGAAGAAAGGAAGAGAGAGGAAGGAAGGGAGGTAAGGAGGGAAGAAGAAAAAAAAGGAGCTTAATAAATGTGTGTTCTCTCGTCTGCTCCTTTCTTTAGGGCAGGAGTTGTTTTGCCTGGCACATACTAGGCACTTAATAAATGTTTGTTGATTGACTGACTGATAAACTGTATTAAGTCTCATAGGACCATAGACTCAAAGATGGACATGGTTTGGAAGACATTCTAGTCCAGGCCCCTCATTTAACAAATGAAAAAATGAGACCTGCAGAGAGTAGTTGGTGTGCCCAAGGTCACCCTGTAGCAGGCCTGGGACCCAAATCCAGGGCTCTTTCTGCGGTGCCATGATGGCGTAATGAGTAGAGCGAGGACATGGAGCATTCTGTTTTTGGAAACTCCTGGTCTCCCAGGTCAGAATGAGCATCTGACATCGCCACAGGCAGGAAGAGCCAAGGCAATCGTGTCAGATGAACGTGTGAACCCCTAATGAAAGCAATAACGATGAAATAATAATAATGATGATGAAAGCATTTCCACAGCCCTTTACAGTTGGCAAAGCATTTTACAAATCTATGTCATTTGATCCTCATAACAACCCTGGGAGGTAGACGCTATCATTAGCCCCATTTTACAGATAAGGAAACTGAGGCCCCAAGAGTAAAGGTGACTTGCCCAGCGTCACACAGCTAGTAAGCGTCTGAACTCAGGTCTTCATGACTTCAAGTTCAACATCCTATCCATGGAAACCCCCAGCAGCCCCAATTCCGAGACCTTGACCTCATAGACAAAAGCAACGATGCCTTGGCCAGAGGCTGCAGCCCAAAGGGGAGGCCTGGCCTCTTGCTCTAAGTCTGGGGCTTAGCTTGAAGCAAGTGGGGACCCTTCCGGGGGTCTCCTTCCCTCCTCTATTGGTGACCTCTTGGATCTCTTTTTTCAGGAAATCAGGGAGATGGTCGCTCCAGTCTTAAAGAGTTTCCAAGCAGAGGTAAGACCAGACACGCAGTGTGTCTTCAGCTCCATCATCCAATCTGTCTCTCACCATCCTTAAAGTAGAACCTCAGCAGCTGGGCACGTGCGCACACACACACAAACACACACACACACACACACACACACACACACACACACACACACACTGCACCCATGCCCCTCTCACCAGAAATGACACCTGAGCTGATCCTGAAAAAGGGTTCCAAGAGGCAGAAGTGAGGAAGGAGGGCATTCCAAGCAGGGAGAACAGCCTGTGCAAAGGTATGGAGATGGGAGATTGGAGTATTGCCAACAGAAATAGCAAATAGGCCAGTTTGGCCCAATTGTAGAGTGTGTGAAGGGGAGTAGTCAGTGTAATTAGTAATGTGCCAACACACACACATAACTTCACTGTATTACCATCAAATTAGTTTGTACTGTACTTACCCATGGGTAGGTTGCAAATGTACTGTTCCCTCCACCTGCACCCCCACCACCAGTTCAATGTAAACTTCTCAGGGCAAAGACCATTTGCATTTTTATCATTGTACTCCCAGCACCCAGCACAGTACCTGGTACATAGTAGGTGCTTTATAAATGCCTGTTGGTTGATTGATTATTGGTACTCTCTCCTTCCACAGATTACATTGTAATTATTTATCTATTTCAATGCTATACCTCCCCCATTCTCCTTACCCCAGAGCAAGAAGTTTCTTTTTTTTCCTTTGCATCTCCACTGCCTAGGATAGTACCTGACACCTTGTTGCCGTTCAATCATTTTTCAGTCTTGTCCAACTCTTTGTGACCCCATTTGGGGTTTTCTTGGCAGAGACACTCAAGTGGTTTGCCATTTCCTTCTCCAGCTCATTTGACAGATGAGGAAACTGAGGCAAACAGGGTGAAGTGACTTGCCCAGGGTCACACAGCTAGGAAGTATATGAGGTCAGATTTAAACTCGGGTCTTCCTGACTCCAGGCCCAGCACTCTATCCATTTACCCCCTAGCTGCCCATACCTGACATCATGTTGGTGCTTAACAGATGCTTGAGGGAGTTAAATTTTAATTAGGCTGGACTGAGGCTGTGATAAAGGGTCCTTTGTCCTATGTGGGCCAAAATCTATCCTTGAATATTGACAAGTGTCCTACTTTCCCTCAGGCCTCACCTCAGCTTTAAATTGATCTCTCTCAGATCTGCCACTAACCATCAGTAAGGACCTTGGGCCCTAGGCTGAGAGTTGAAAAGACATAGGTTCCAGTCTTGGGTCTACATGACCTTGGACAAGTCCCTTATCTCCAGACCTGTTTCCTCCCTCTGTGAAATGAGAAGGTTGGTCCAGGTTACCCCTAGATCCTTCCAGCTCCGGCATTCAGCTATTCCCTAAGATCTCCTGGCTATTAAGTATAAACACTTTACCAGCCCTCCTTACTAGGCTACCCTCCCTCCTCTAGGGCCACCCAGAGCAAAATCGATACGGTCCACATGCCTTCCTGCCAATTTGCCAACTGGTCCTTGGATCTCTGCCAAACTGTTCCAGCAAAAAAAAAAAAGCCCACTTGCCTTTGGCCATCCTCAAACCCACAATGCGAGCCTAGTCTCCCCCAACTCATTCTTTCCCTCACTGGACTTTGTAGCCAAGACCCAGAAGGAATGAGTCTATCCAACTCAGGAAGGTGGGATAGAAAATCGTCTCATTCCAACCGGGTGGAGAGGCGGAGGGAAAAGGGGAGAAGCCGAGAAATCGTACTTCTGAATGCTTTTAAAATGATCAATCTTCTGGGGGCTGCTTTCTGTGTTCTTCTAATGTGCTTAGGCAGAAACCCCCAGAGGAATGGGGCACCGAGAGCTCACGGCGGGCAGCCTCGGCGACGGCGGCCCATTGGCATCTGTCATCTGCCGCTCGCACTCCGTTCCTTCAAATCTGTCTCCTTGGAACTACGTAACCACATAAGAAAATATTAAAGTAAACAGTAACTGGATTTACACAAATGCAGCTTATTTCCATATTTTTCATCACTTCGTTTTATTACTCAGTTTACTGATGTGCTCATTTATTTATAGGGCAATCCAGTATTGATTCATCCCGGTGCGCGGGTGCCTAAGCACATAAAAGAGAGTGATAATGATAGGAGTGGGTTTTCATGCCTTTGTGTTTCAAAAAAAAAAAAGGCATGTTTCCCCCCTACCACTACCCCCCCCTCCCCCTCCAGCATCCTTTGTGAGTGAATGCACACATGCTCAGGAAGCCAGCTTTTCCCCTGGTACTGAGCCGTCTCCGAGGTTACAGAGACGGCTCTCTTGGTGAGGAAGAAAGCTCTGCTTTTCTGGCGCCCTGGCGCCAATGCTCACTTGGGGGTAGGGTGGGGAGGCTATGGTCTGGCCCCATGAAGGGTCTTACTTAAAAATGATGTTGGAGACTTTCATGGAGGCTGCAGATGATGCCTTGGATGTGTTGGCCACCCCTACCCCTCTTCCTTCCCCTCACTTTCCTCACTAACATAGGCATCCACCACCTCATGTCTTTTTGCAGTAAGTCTATTTCTATTCAGACTTGTATTTCCATGCCTGGGAGACCATGGACCATAGTAGAAAGAACCCTGGATTTGGAGTCAGGAGACCTGAGTTAGCTTTGAGAAGTAGTTTCATCTCATGTGCATTTAAACATGGAAGAGACCTTAAGGGCGATTTTTGTCCGACCCATCCCCCTTCATTTTATAGTTGGGGAAAATGAGGCCCAAAAAGGCAAGTGACTTTCTCAAGGTCATGAAGGTGCTATGTGGCCAGGGTGGGATTTGAGCCCGGCACTCTGACTTTGATCCAGAGCTGCTCTCCCCTTAGGACGTCCCATATCACCTAGGGCCTTCTCACCCTGGAATATTTCCCACCCCAACGTCCATTTTGGGGAGAAGCCTAGGCTGAGCATCCTTTATTCCTCTCCCAACTGACTTTTGTCCTGCCACTGGACTTTGATGACTCAAGAAGAGGAAGGCTAACAACTTTGCAAGCTCTGCCTCACTTAAATCCAACTCACAAGCAAGTCAAGACATCACCCCTGCCCTCAAGGAGAGCATATGTATTCACAATACATACAAAAAAAATACAAAGTAGTCTTTGGTAGGGAGAGAGATTAATAACTGGACTTCACCATCGTGGTCCCCTGCACAGGCACCTCCCCTTTCTCCTTCTCCACTCCCCCCAGCAGCTTTTTTAGGCGTGGTCTTCTTCCATTAGAATGTAAGCTCCCTAAGGGCAAGGACAATCTTTCTTTTAGCTTGTATTTCTATCCCCAGCACTTAGCACAGTGCTAAGTCCAAGCAGGCACCTAATAAATATTTCTTACCTACCTCTCACCACTGCACTACATTGTTGCTCAGTTTCCTCATTTGTAAAATTGGAATAAAAAGACTAGCTCTCCCTATCCCTGAGTTGTGAGAAAAGTGCCTTGTAAAGCTTTTGTAATTTTAATTCAACAAATACTTATTAGATAGAGATTTTTACAGATGTGTGTGCGTGGGAGAGACACTGATAATCACATTCCCAAACCTAGGGAGTAAGGGAGAAATAATGATGGTTACTCATAGATATAGGACTAAAAGGGCCCTCAAAGACCATCTCGTCCAATTCCCTCATTTTACAGATCAGGAAACTGAGGCCCAGGGAGGTCAGGTGACTTGCCCTGGGACACACAAAGCCAAGATTTGAACCCAGCTCCCCTAATTCCAGATCCAAACTTATTTCCACTTTACTTTGCTGCCTCTGTAATTTGCAAACTTTAAAGCCTATAGGCATGACAGCTATAATGATATTATCATGCTTAACATTGTTGGATTTGTTCTTAGAGGACCTGAGTTCGAATGGCATTAAGAGAGGTCAGCTACCTCCTTGAATGTTTCTAGTTCTTAGTTTCTTTATTGTTTAGTGGATTGTGGCGAAGAGACTTCCAGCTCTTGATGCTATGAATCTGTTAAAATACCTTCTTATTAAGGAGATGTGGAGGAGCTAAGTGTAAGGGAAGGTGGGGACTTAACGTGAGTGCAGGCGATGTTAGAAGGTGAGCCGGGTTCAGAAGAGATAAGCCCTTAGAATCACCTCAGGTCCTTGTTCTGCCATTGCTAACACCCCTAAAGGGACCAAATTCCATTGTTTATTTAGACTCTTGTGTGTGAGAGACACAGAGACAGACAGAGAGAGAGAAAAAAAATAGAAAAAGGGAGGGATAGAAGGGAAGAGAGAGGAGGAGAGATAGAAGAGAGAGGGAGAAGGAAGAGGAGGAGAGAGAGGGAGACAGAGAGAGAGAGATGAGAAAGAGGAGGAGGAGGGAGAGAGAAGAAAAAGAAGGGGGGGGGAGAGGGAAGAGAGAGGGAGAAGGAAGAGGAGGAGAGAGAGGGAGACCGAGACAGGAGAGAGAGAGGAGGAGGAGGAGAAAGAGAGGAGAGGGAAGAGGAGAAGAAGAGAGAGACAGATAAAGTGAGGGAGAGAGGAGAGACAGAGAGAGAGAGAGGGAGAGTTTTCCCCTAGGGTAATGCCCAGGTTTGGGTTTCCTCAGTTAGTTACTACTTTGGGGCTCACTCTCTAGTCAAAGGATTTTCTGGTCCCAACAAGGAATGGAGATGGCAGGTAGCTGAGATCTTGAGCTTGGGCATGGACATTTCTGGAGAAATCCCAAACCCTAAATTCAGAATGTGGAACCCCCCCCAAATCATTCTCCTTTGGGATTCCACTTGCTGTATGTCAGCCTCCACAGAGCCTCTCTTCCAAGTTTGGGACTCTAACAGAACTTCATTAATTTTCTTAAGAGAGCTTTTCATCTCACCTTTAATGTAGGAAAAAGACTGCATTTGTCTATGATTTTATTCATGAAACCTCCGCTTTTCCCTTGATCTATTGACTAAGCAATCATAGCAAGCTTGCTCCCTCCCACTCTTTAGGGAATAAATATTTCCCAAGGAAGGTGTTCATTTTAAAGGGTGAGGGGGTGGAAGGAAATCTTTCCTTGCCCAGGACCAAGTCTGTCCGCT